TCTCTAAATAAAGTAATCTGGGCTGAAAGAAAAGTTTTTTTTAAAAAAAATGTTTACAATATCAGTTTGTTCTTTTGACAGTGGTGACTATACATCATTTTTGAAATAAGGAAATTGCGCTGGAAACATCAGTGCCCATAAAACATTTAGAAGGAAGTTAATCTATCAAAATTAAGTGTAAATAATTTAAAAATCCAACTCTGATATTTCAACTGTGTAAATATATTGAATCTGCAACACACTAGTGAACATGTCATTTTCAAGCACAGCTCTGATTATAAAAAATGTAAATGAAGATATTTGAAGTACAAACCAGGGCAAGCAAGAGGAATATTTTACTCATAAAACTAACAATCACAAAAACAAGAGGTAAGATAAATGGGAGGTGATTATCAGAAAAGCAAGCAACTCCTAGATTTGCCAGCAATTTCATACCTGGTTTGATCAAATATTCAGATTTCATATCACGTAACGGAGAGGAAGGGAGGTTCATTCCCTGCAAAGTGAAATAAAGTAGGATTCGAGTTAGAGTAGCCTGACTGAGGCATCAGAGCAAATGTTTAAGGCTGAAAATACTGGTAGGGATAAGTCCAGCACTGTCTTTTTTCGTCCAGTAGTTCTTGGAGTGCTGTGTGCAAGGCACAGATCTTACTTTGGCACTTGACCATCTGCAGCTGCTTCACTCTAGCCCCTAGTGAGTTAGTGTCCATGAAGCCCATCTTAATGAAGTAGAGGAAAGGGTCTTCAGGAATATAAAAGGTTTACCCTGCTTAGTATGGAGCTGTGTGCAATGTGAAATAGAGAGCAAGTGGTGCATGTGCCGACATTTGAAAAGATCCGTGCTTTAAACAGCCCCATCTAAGAGACTGCGAATCGTGTTTGGAGCTGGCTTGGAGTGCTGAGCGCTGCAGAGCACAGTCAGCTCGCTGCCGGTTGTTCCTATAATAAAAATACTTAGGCCTTTTTACCTATTTATTTCCGCTTCCTTTGAGCTTTGGGTTTACTGGTATGTGAAAGGAAAAAAAAACCCCACAAGCATATGTTTGGTTGCTTAATCAACCTTTTCTCAATCCACACTCGGTGATCTCAGTGAGTCATTACGGCATAATTACAATTTGAGTGTGGTACGCTGTTTGTAGAAAAGTGTCTATTTTTAGCTGAAGAAACACTACAGACCCTGAAAGGAGGAGAAAGAAAAGGAAAAAAAGGAAGGAAGAAAATCTGTAACCAGCAAATCAATGCTATTGTTAACTGATATTACGAGACACCCTGTAGACTTAAAATGCTTGCATTCAGCCACATAAAAACTGCACTGAAAAGAATGCCTACCAGGGGTTAAATTCATATGCCTGCACTGCAGCCTATTTCTGTCAACACTCAGCTCAGGAAATAAACATTTATGCTTTCTGAAATGAAAGTGTATTTTTGAAGACTAGCCGTCAGATATTTTTTGCCCTTCACACTTTCAAATGCTTAGCCTTTTTTGTAAGTTGACTGCAAAGTGCATCAGTTTGCTAGGCAAAAAGGAAAAAAAAAAAATCTTGACAAGTGCCCATGGCATCATTGTCAAGCACACGAGCGTCTAGTAGAAGATGGCAGGAGGATTGGCACAAAACATGCTTCCTTCAAGCTTCTTACCTCAGGGGTACCTGACTCTTGAGAAGCCTTTCAATCCTTCCAAATGACGTTATTGCAAACTGTCATCTGGTTTATTTGGAGTGCGCTGTATCGCGGATAAACATGCTATTTAACTGCAGGTCAAGGTACAGAGTCATTCTGCTAGCAAATGCCTGAGATACATTAAACGGCGTTGACGTGGGGAGGGAGATGGAAAGAGATCAAAGTTGTCACCAATATGGTGCATGCTAAAGGGGAAAAAGGTACACAACATTGTATTTTTAAAAGCCATTATGCAGTTCTACATTTAAAACATTGACCTGCAAGACTCTTAAGGATTAAGGAGCCACACAATGCACAACAAAGTTCAAAACCACACCATCATGCAGCATCTCTGGGCTGTTTGGAAAGAGCTTACAGTTGTGACTGGGAAGACTACCACAGCTCCAGAAGGCTGGGAGTGTATTTAGTCTAATTTGGAGACTTTTTAAAAAATAGTTACATTTTTAAATAGAAAATGTCTGCTTGTCGCAGAACGTGGTTGATCTAGGGGATTCATATAACAAAAGCTCACAGAATCAGAGCACAGTTTGGCATGAAATAAGTATAACCTCCTTCAAATAATTAAAAATAAATCTCTCTATGTAAACACATATGCCTGCATAATCTAGTCTTTTAACTGGGACTTGCTGAACATCTATTAAAAGGGATTGGTGTTACAAGGGACATGCTAGATCCTTCCACATTTTCTGAAAAATCAAAACAAAACAAGAACAGATTAATTACAACTTGATGCAGTTGACATTCCCACGAGGGAAGCCTTTAAAAGTTAAAACATGCTTTCACTGAGCAGGCTTTCAAGGTGAAGTTACTTCGATCAGGAAAAAAATAGTCATGTTTATTTGATTTATTATTGGAGAGCAGAACAGTGTGGTTTATATTTGCAGTTTTTCTATAATGTAAAAGATTTCTTTTTATTTTTTATGTGTCATATAAAAACAATTAGTATATTTACTGCATCAGAATGCGGATTTTTCAAGAGTGCAGGACCATAAATTACAGGCAACATCCCATTTTTCCCCTCACAGGGCACATGTAATTTCCTTTGACTGTGGCACACAATAAATGTTATTGAAGCACAGCATAATTTATTAAAAAAAACCAAACCAACAAACCTGTACTAAAATAGATAAGTAAATAAAGGAAAGAAGTTGGGAGTTTTCAGGAAAAAAAAGAATAGAGAGAGATTGCACGTTAAACTTTTTTTTTAATCAAAACTGCTTTGATTGCTTTTTGCTTAATTAAACTCCTCAGAAGTGTGTGAAACATTGTTATACCTGAAAAATTGTTAAATTTGTAAATCACAGGGACAAAAGGGCTCCACTGCAACTTTAAAGTTTCTATGCACGTAAATGTCAATAGAGTGCCTTCTCCATCATCAGCACTAAATTCACATTGATGCCTCTTTTCTTCTCTGTATTGATCCTTCCATGAGAACGTAGATTTGTATCTGTTAATTAATGCGTCCTGAAACAGCGTTTGTATTAATCAGGCAGATAAGAAAAATTGGATGCCTGCACCCTCATGACAACCGTAAAAGTGCTGGCCCTGATAAAATCGTGGATGGACCTCAATAAAAAAGTTCCTCCTTCCACTCAATAAACTAATCATCCTGCTTTTAATTATTCGGCAGAAAGATGTGTGGAGATTGGAGAATGTGTAAATCTATTTACTAACAGCAGTGTCTGGGAGGGAGAATGGGGCTGTCACAGGACGGTGCTGCAGGCTACGTTCTCTGTCCATCTGCTACTGCAGAAAAACTGGTTCTTGAAAGACGGGAAGGAACAGAAATGTTGAAGCTAATTGAAATCACGAATTCCTCCCTATAACCTTTCAAATGATTATTTCTTCTCCATTTCCCTCTTATTTTAATCATGGATGTGTTATTTTCCATTGTCACCTCTTCAAGGGTTTCCTGTTGTTGTTGGCTCAGTTTTTGCTGGCTTTTTTTTGGAGCTACAGTTCTATCACAAGACTCAAAAGACAGTAAGAGAAAATGAAAACAAATAAGGAGGGGGAGAAAAATGAGAGAGAGAGAGCATGCAGCCAGTTTTATGTTTCATTTTTTATGGATGCCTGGTGGTTTGGATGCGGGGTTTTCTTTTTATTGTATTAGTTTTGCTGCTTAGTGCTTATAGAGAAAATCTTGTTTGGAGTAGATGCCTTGCAGATTTGCTAGCTTATGATATATTCCTTCTTGACTGTAACTCTCGACTTTCAAAACAGAAAAATGCATCTGAGTGTAATTGAACTCCAAAAAGAATGTTCTTACAGCGGGAACCCTGTCAAAGGACATGTAAGCAGCTCCATAAACAACTAAAGGAAAGCCTCAGACATGTCTTAAGACCCTTTAAGAAAAGCTTGACTAATCCCCTTTGATGATTTTATTAAGTACTTGTGCTTGATGGTGCCAACTGGCAAACTACTGCATTTCACCAACAGGCCAGGAAAATCACTTCCTCTCCCATGTTGTTTTGTAGCTCCTAATGTGATTGGGATATTAGCAGTTTGATATAATAAATTAACAGGTACTGTAAACAAGAGTCTGAAAGGGTAAGACAGTAAAGATGTTTGCCCTTAGTGATCCTATTAGGAAAGACAGCGAGGAGGGGAGGCAAAAGTTAAATTCATTAAGAGGCATTTATTAAATTTTTGGTTGCCCTCGGAAAAAGGATGGTGTTACTGCTATTCAGTTGGCACTTTAATATGCCACCCTGTTAGTTCAACAAGTGGTGTAGTGGCAGGAGCCATTACAGAAGCAGTTGGCATCTTTTCTGAGGAGGGCAGGTGTTATTTCTCTTTCCTCTGAGGTTGAAGTTCAAAAAGAATTTCCCTCTTTGTGATAATCACCTTAATTTTATTAAAACAACAAATCTTCTCTTTTAAAAAAAATTTGGGTTTTTTTTTGTCCCCTCTCCTAAATTATCCTTCTTGGTTTATGGTAATGATGAATAGAGTCATGAAATTCCTGTTTCACAGCATCAGGTTTTAGAACTAAGCATGAGTATTTCAGAACAAAGAAGGCATCATGCAAATCGTAGACCGTCACTGCAATACTCCCCAAATTAATACGATTCCTACAGAAAGAGCCTGCAAATTCCAACTTGTCTATAAATTTGTGTGTTCATTAGAAAATGTTTGATTTTATATTGATTTACTTTCCTGTAGTAGGCTGGGGAGGAGAGGCACAAAAGCAGAAGGGAGACTAGAGCACATACATGTTTTATCACAATGTATATTAAAAAAAAAATCAAAAAGAGGAGTAGATTTCTGACCAATCCCAATGTACTTAAATATTTTTTCTGTATTTTATTCCTATTCAGGATTCTCCACTTTGTCTCTAGCTGACCAGATGAGCCTTCTGCAGAGTGCTTGGATGGAGATTTTGATTCTCGGTGTTGTATACCGGTCACTTTCTTTTGAGGATGAGCTCGTATATGCTGAAGATTATATTATGGATGAAGACCAATCCAAATTGGCAGGCCTTCTTGACCTTAATAATGCCATACTGCAGCTGGTAAAGAAATACAAGAGCATGAAGCTGGAGAAAGAAGAGTTTGTCACCCTCAAAGCTATAGCACTTGCTAATTCAGGTTGGCAGAGTGGCATGATGGTTGCTACGTTTTTAATTCCCCCCCCCCCCCCCCTTAATACTTTCTGCATGCTTGTTTTAAACATGGTTCTAGAATAAGGAATGGCTAATCAGACCTTAGTCTAAAAGGCAACAAGCAAAGCAGTTCAAACTAAGAAGAGCTTTCTGGTTCTAAGTGATTGTGGAATATGTTCCTAACGAATTGGAGACTACTGCACTGTATGATTTGGAGTGTATTTTACAGGCAAAGATCCTTTCACATGAATATAGATGTTGTTCTCCTAAATCCATTCCATAATCCAGGCAAGTCTAATCATTGCAATTAAAACGAACAGAAAGGATGCATGAGAATATGCTATATACATTCTCTTTAAAGGCAGCTACTGATTTATTTGACAGGGTGAATTCAGGATAAGGGAGGAAGGGGGAAATTCTTATTTAATCTCACAAGGACCACACCTTACCTTACGGATCCTCTACATTTATGAGGATGCTTCTGCAAAGATTATTACCTGTGCAGCAAGGGTTAAAAAATCTCAGAAAGAATTTTTTTTCTGCATTTGAATTTAAAAGTGCTGAAGCAGTGAATGCTGTCAGATAAGTAAAAATCGTTTGTGCTTTGTTGTTTTTCCTTTTGTGTCTCCTTAATGCTTTATTGTGGTCTTAAGTCCCTTTTAGCATTTGCATAAAGTTCACGATAGATCCCTCTTTAATGACGTGCCGATCATTAGATACCTGTGTGTCAATAACATGCTCTGATGCTATGTTCCATTGACAGTCACACCGTGCCCCTCCATCTGCTTTTGTTTTGACCCTATCTTTGAACTTTATCTTGGTTGCTGGCCAGTAGTTTTCCCTTTAATTACAAGAAGGAAACTGTCAATAAAATCTGTTAAATGGGATGCAATGAGTGGCTTGAATGGGCGGACGGCTATTTGTTCAAATTCTGCAGCATTCAAGGAATTGACAGTTTGTTTTCTGGGGCCATATGTGACGATCAATCTCAGGCTGGGCTCAGCCGCGCTGAAAAATGAAAAACCAGATTGCTTTTGCTTACTTGTGGATGACGACTTGTGATTTGGCGCGGTCCTAGTGAGATGAGACCTTCTGCCCAAATTGCCCCCCTGAGAGCCAGGACGCGTGACTGTTTTTAGAAATAATTTTTTAATTGATTTTGTAATTAACAGTTCATCTACAATATTGATGCATGAATCCTCAGATTGATAGGAGGGAAATTGTTTTCAACAATGAAGTTGTACTTTCCTATTTGTCTTTGTAATGTGATTTAGCACTCTGCATTTTTAATTGGAAATATAATTCAAAAACATGCAAAGCCAAAATGCTTATTAGTTTCTTTGTAAAATATTCTCCACCCCACTAACTCTGTCTTTAGTTTTAGAATATTATCTTATTTCCAGAATAAACAAAATGCTGGAATGCCTCTCAAAGATCAGAATTATTTTTAATTGAAGATTTATTTATAATTTTTGACCGTCGTAAATAGACACTTGAGGATGCTTTGCAGCTACAAGAAGGATTTTTCTCAAAACTATTTATGCTAAGTGAACAGAGCAAGAGAGTTATCTGGAATTAGGAGTCTAAATTGAGAAGATTTTTTGTATTTATTTTGATTCTGTAATTCAAAGACTGAATTAGAAATATTTCTGCAGTTTACTTGATGAAAAGGCTAAGGGGCTAGACTATAGGCATATGGTGTTAAATACCACCCACACCTTTCTGCCACCCTCCCCCCCCCTCCAAAGACATGCAGTGTTTAAGTAATAATAAAAGATACTGCTGCCAAAAAAAGTTTAGTCATACATTGTGCATAGAGTGTATCCAAATCATCTGTAGCTTCATTAACTTCACTGGGAATTACAGCCAGGATAATGTCAGAGATAAATACAATTCAGCATACTAAAATTCAGGGCACATTTAAGTGAGAACGTTTCCTTCCCTCATCTTAAAAGAAATTTTGAAATTGCTGTTTTAAAATTAAGCTATTGCAAGGAGGAGTTAAAAAGCAGCCAGCCATTCATCTTCCCTTGCAACAGAATGTTTTGACTGCTGACATTCAACATTTCAGCTTCAGGTTGTACACCAAACTTCTATCAGCTGTAGCTACGCTAACCTGTAGGTGTAAAATAGCACATCCAGAATTACGGCCCATCAAGTAATATCAGACCCCTAGTGTTTTCAGTTACAAATGCTGCTAAAATTAAAGTAAAATAAAAATTAAAGTAAAATCAAAGTTTCTGTCTTTTCTTATAGACAAAGGCAGAAATAGCTTATTTTCACATACCTATGAACTCAATTAATGTAAACGCAGTTATATCCAAAATAAGAAAGAAAATGCCATTATAAAATCCATCAGTTAGCAATTCACATTTTAATATATTTTGTCGCTACATCTGCTTTACTCTAAAACTTCCACTATTTATTTTTCTGGTTTAAAATATATTAGCCTTTTATAGCTGTAGAGAGAATGGATGAAGTATAATAAGAAATCTTGGGCATTTCAGACATTTTTGCCACATCCACACTGTCTAGAAAGATTCCCAGGTTGCCTCTACTGTAAACAGTAGACAAAGATGGTTTTATAGCTCTGTATCTGTGTTAGTGATTTATGATACAGTGTCATAGTACTTTCCCTGCTGGTGTATAGAAGCAGAAAAAGAAATTGTAGGTTGTCTTCATAGTGATTGTATTTTGTTTAAATAAATACCACAAGCTTTGTTTTGGCCAACAAATCTCAGTATTGTGAGTATTAAAACACCCCAACTGCTAACTGTTCTTTAGGCCCACAGAGTCTATTTGCCCAGTGCTCGAGCTGAGATAATCCTGCCTTTTGGTTTCTAAAAGGCGGGGGGGAGGAGCCATTTTTCAGGAATTTCAAGATTCTCTTGACACCGTTATCAAATGTTCCCTTTGCAGGGATGGCCAATGCCACACCACTTCTATAAATTTCCAAAATGCAAGAAGTAGCAACCTTGTACATTGTCACGGATTTCAAACAGCGTGCATATAGCACCTGAAAAGTTTCAGTACGTATATAAGAACACAAATGTCCTATAGGCATTTCAGTCCTGCGTATGTTAAAGCCTATACAGGCACAATTTCAACAGTTAGGTTTAACTTGTAGCGCTTAATACGGAATTTATCGTGTTAGTTTTAAACATCTGCATCGATTCGATGGCAATTAATACAGCCTTTATGCTCGAACTCCAGAGAAGTCCCTCTCACCACGGCGCTGCCCTTGTCCCGTCAGGATCACGAGTTCCTTCCGTCTTTCTTTACCTTCTCTACACAAAAGCAAGGAGGTACCTCGAAGCTGCAGGATGCAACTGCCCTGCGTTCCACCTCACGCCGCCCAAATGAAGCGAGCTGGCACCAATGAGCACTTTGTTTACCCACGCAGAAAATCAACTTTGAATGGTTTCCAAAACATGCATGTACCAATTACTTCCTCTTGTGTAAGGGAAGGTGAAATATTTACAGGATATGTTTGAAGTGTACGCAAGTGCACACGCGCACAACGTGAACACTCCAACACACAAAAGACGACCCGCTCGTTTCTCTTGTATGAGAAAATGCTTGCGTGTATCGATTAGGTAATACTAAACAGGGAGCTGCAGGTGAGCAGTTTTTTGAAATTGCCTAATCGGTAAGGACTGAATTGTGCCTTCAGGCCAAATGTTGCAGAAGAGCTTAGGAGTCAGGACTGAGACCAGATTTTTAGGAGAAACTCACTTCCCATCTAAGATCTAACATAAGGAACTAGAGTGTCAAAAAACATTAGCGCATTTGAAAATCTGATCCCTGTGTATCTGCCTAATAGGCTGCTGGCATCTTGAAAAATCTGACCTAAATGTAGATGCTAGGCACTTAAATGTATAACCCTGTGCACTGTTGAAAATTTAATCTTAAACGCTAATACTAGCTGTCTAGCCTTGTACCAGCAGAAGAAAAGGAAAAAAGGACCTCCATTCGCCGTCACAATTGCTGGTCTCTCCTCTTAACTCTCCTAAAAAAATCCCAGCACCCTTTCAGTACCGAAGGAGTGAGAACCAAGAAGTATCTTGTGCGTTTTAGCATACTGAAGCACAGATCAACATTAATGCCAGTAAAGTTACCCGATCATTTGTCGTGGTAAAAAAATTAGTTCCTTCTTACAAGTTATTTAGCTTTCCAGCCAGAGCACTAGACTATCACCATTAAATAATATTATCATAATAAAAATCAATTGGTAGAACCCTATAAATCACATATGCCTCAGGACATCATCTTTATTCCCAGTATAGACTGTGGCTTATCTTTTGTCTGAACGTACTATATTTAGTTTCTAACAATGTCAGTTTTTTCATTTTACTTTATGTGGTCATCTTGTTGATGTTAGAATTCATGATTTAAAATTTATCTATTGTGAATAGGTATATATAAAGAATACATACGCACCCGTGTGTTATTGGTATGTTACCTATGTTTCTTTTGCTGAATATATATAGCAAGGTTTGTTAACCCTTTCATGTAATTTTGTATAGAGAGTGGTACAGCATAGAAACAAAGTTTTAGAAAAGGAAGTTGCCACTATAGTCAGAGTTTTTGTGTTGCTTGAACGCAGTTTCTTCCTCATCCTCATATTCCATTTTCATGTAATCAAATAGATGCACCCACAATTCCTAGAGAAAATAAATAACTCTGCTACCATTTGCTTAATAATAACATTAAGCAAATGGTAGCAGAGTTAATTAATAGTTTAATTTTTGTAATTCTTTTTTCTTTTTCTGGCAGTCGGTCTAGTAACTGAATAACTTTGAGATATTCCTCACTTAGTTATGCAGCAGGTAGATACTATTTATGTGTTAGCAGCCTGGGACTCACGAAGGGCTAGAAGCGAGGCCAGCCCAGTGGCAGGCAGGAGGGCGGATTCCTGCCCCGGGTTCTTACTGCTGGGGCAGGACTGTAAGGGGAGCACTGTGCCGCGCCTGCCCAGGGCCAGCT